TTACAGTCTACGCCGAAAAGAAGCAAAAACCGAAACCATCTTTGATCTATCCGCCAAACCGACACCTAAACAATGACAACAGCCGTCAAAATTTACAAACAAAACGTACACATCGTCAACGAAGATTTCTATACAATAATATTTATACTACATAGCTGATATTTTGCAAGGTAGCTTGTTGTTAATTTAAAAATATATTTTTAGAATTTCGGCGGGACTTGCTTTGACACGTTGGTATTGCCAACTTTGAACGAAATTCCCTCCACAATAATAAGCCAATCAGAAAGCTTGATCGGTGTCTGTATCTCTGCTTGAGAGTAAAACGTGCTGCAATGCAATATATTGCACAATATGGCCACGCTCTTTACAAAACACACCTTCTATTTGTTTCGAAAGATACCTAAGATCTTAAACACTTCCTTTAGTTCCAGATAAAAGTGACAGAGTAAATTAAAACCACTTGTCAGTGATGGCAAAACACGTTGATGGAATGCGCCAACATTCTCATGGCTTATACGCGGGTTTTTCTATGATATTCGTTGGTAATTAAAAATAACTGCAAACATTCCTTTGTTTATTTGTAAGTTGTACTATAAAGCAACGCCGGTGTACCACGCATCGACACGTTTCAGGCTAAAAATAGCTTAAGAGTTTATAAAACGTGCTCGAAATAGCTTGTGATACTATCCCACTTTTATATGTGGGAACACATAACTTTCTCCTGGTTTGGAATTTTCACCGTCTCTGTAAAATCATTCCAGCTGAGGCCAGTATTCTTTATCGATAAATTCGGCGATTTCGGAAGTTAAAATCTTCGTATTGCTTTTTGAATGACACTAATTGTGTCATCTTTAAACCATCAGGAATTATATATTGATATATTTTGCGTGAGTTTGTGGGGAACAGTTACATAAATAAGATTTAATTACACTATTATTTATGTAACAATTTAGCCAAAAACACCAAAAACAGTGACCATTACGGTTTCTTTTGAGACTTGGAAAGAATCCTGTCATTTGAAGTCTAAAGATTTTTCTCAAGAATTTTTTAAATGACTTTCGTAAACAGGTTCTTTCATCACAAAACTCAATTTCTTTTCATCTCGCTTTTGTTCAGGAGTGTCGTTATTTGAGTAAACAACTGCATTCAATGTGATTTACCTCACTGACTTGAAGGACGATGATGATGCCACCTAATACATCGAGAGTGAATGACTTTGATTTTTTGAATTTATGATCAATGAGTGGTCGATAATACCATTTCAAATCTAATACTCAAAGAAGCCAGACATTTAACTGCATTATTTCTTTTTCACGAATCGGTGGATTTCCACCCACAATTTTTTTTCAGATCTTTATGACAAATAAGATACAGTTTGTAACAAGATTCCAAAGTAATTAATGATATCTAAAGAATGTTTTAATCTGCAAATGAAACATGAGCACAAAGCTAGGAAACCATCGCTCGAGCATTTATGAAAAATTCCTTTACACTTTAAAAAATCCGCAAACATGAATTGCGCCACTTAGTAAAAATAGGATCTTATGTATTTATATTAGGAAGCCAATCTTTGCTACTCTTATAATTTGCATAAATTTTCTTTCTGGGTATTTTTGTCTAAAATAGTTGCTTATATCATTTTGAAAACCTTTTTACTGAGAATTTGTATATTAAGCAGTTTGTTAAACTATTATGTATACTCCCAAAAATAATTTGTTCTTTAGTTCGCTATATTTGTTCCTTATAACTGGCTTTCCTGTGGGTTCTTTTTCCTTCCGCTTGTTTAAAATTTAGCTCAAGAACACACCCACGACACCCCACACTAGCTAACGTTGCCGCCTCGTTTTTAAGGTTATCTATTAAATATCTACAACCAATCTCTTATTTTCTTGTCTGCGCATGGCCTGGGGAGGAGTGGGATGAGTCTAAGTGAGTAAGTCTAAGTTGATGACGTCAGGACTCGCCCAGGACCGGGCGTGTGCACTTGTCAAATTATTGCCTATTGTCGCTGAACAACAAGTCTGAGCGATGGTACCAGGCAGAGTACAATGTGTAAAGAATATACTTGATTTGCTATCTTTATATTTCGACTGAAGATTTCATCTTTTCCAAAGATGAAATTTGTACAATTGTAAACAGAAGGAAACTAGAAAGTATGCCAAGATTAGGAGCATATGTGCGTTTGAGTTTCAAATTCTGTTATAAATTTTTTTCTAATTATCGAGATAATGTGAGAGAATTTTGTTATGTTTCTATTTGTGGCTGTCATGGGCGACTAACTTTCAGTAATGAATACCAACAGTTTTTAACACGACTTAGTGATACATTCTATCTCAATAATTTCAGATACCAGTTGGTAGGATTGGTTAAAACTGCAAACAAGATATCGAGCGAAAACCTGTTACAATTTAAATTAAACTAAATGTGCCAAAACTAAATACACTTAGGAAAATTACAACGAAAATAACGATGAAGCCCTACAAAATACCAATACTCACATTTGTTGCGATGCTGAAGAATGACAGCTGAATTACTGCGAAACGGCTGCACGACGTGCTGTACGATTAAATATAATTGCAAGAAATATAATATGAAATATGTTCGCAAGCGGACTTACTGAGTAAAACTAACAACTTTGATAAACAATACGTTAAATACTTGCTACGTTACGCAACGTTACCTTGCACAGCGCACGCAAAATTTTTAATGTAATCAGTGTCGTTTGTATAAAAACAATAGACAAAAGAAAAAGACGTTTGTGATCTACACTAATAGTTTGAAACTCGAACCCAGTCCCCTGAATGTTGATTCGTTTAACATGATGACAAATTTTTTTTACGTGTTCTTTTATGTAACTGAAATATTCATTTACAATGGAGTTTTAATTAAAATTACGTCTTGACATGTTTTTTCAATAAATATAGAAATCATACATGAATCAAAGTCATGTAGAAATCATTGAGTCAAACTTTTGTAATTATACGTTGTGCAGTTGTACTTAAAATATCTCTTTCAAAAAATATTTCTTAATGAATCTAAAACAAACTGTCCCTTTGTATAAAGGGGGTAAGTTTCCAAAAAAAATGTGGTGCTGCGTCAGTGGGAGAGTATAACGTGTAATTTTAGTGTTATCAACTAAGTTGAAAACGTAAATCGACCACCGTTACGAGTTTAAAGGCTGACGTGTCGAGCGTTAGCCCTTCGTCAGATCGCTCTAGAGAAGAGTGAACGCTTGAAACGTCAGCCTTTAAACTCTTTACGGTGGTCGATTTACCTGTCCCTATGTGAAAACTACCCAACTCCCTAATGTTAATCAGCCCAGATTCTTGGTACCACGTGCCAAAGGAGAAAACGAATGGATCAAAGGCAAAGTGACGACAAACAATAGCTAACATAAAAAAACAATAAACATATTGCTGGGCATTTGGAAAATTATAAAATCCAACCGCTTGGTTACGTTTAAATTTTGTTATTGAAAATGCGCTTTTTTTTTGTGAATAACAAGGCTCGCTCTTCGCGATAGAATAGGTAGTTTTCGAGCCAAATTGAAATATAAACTCAAAAAGTGCGGTGTCATAAATGCTATATTGTGTGTGTACGTCATGTTCAATAAAGAATATTACTAAATTTTTTCAATACTGTTTGTTTCATAGGTTCGGTCATGAAAGAAAATCTTTTATATTTCATTGTTTATATCATAGTGTTTCTGCTCTTATATTTACAAACAAATATAAACTGTTAACTGTCGGATTCTTATATTTTTAAAACCATAAATTGCTCAGAACTTGAGAGTAACTTGAAAAATGTCTTAAGTTACAAAAAGTACTAGAAAGATATAGAATATATCTAGAGCAAGACAAGAATTTACCGCGAGGTCGATCAGGCAGACGGTTTGTAAGGTGTCAGCTAGGAAGAATAAATATTAATTTTAGTGTTTAAAAAATCTTTCGTAATAGGCTTTGGTCATTTGTCATAACATCATAAATAGTCAAACTAATATAGCTTAAAAAAAAAGGGTTTTTCGACAATGAAGACTTCGGTGTTGTTAATTTTACAAAGAAATCATACTTGAAGATTCTCTTCTTTTAAAAACACTCTACGCTGTCTGATGAGGTACTTAGATTTAGCATGTAGACTTGGAAACTTTTCAACTATTTTGAGAGCTTCGCCTTACGAAATAACATTTTTCACTGTCCATTACGAAGCTTATTTTTTTTTTGAAGCATAGTATTCTTTACGGGTTTAAAGTGGTTCGGAATCATTACCTTCGCCCGCCGTCTCTGATGGGCGACGCAAAGTTCAAACAAAATATTTGAGTTACCGGCGACTTTCAACTGACACTACGTGAAACGATTTCCAAAACAGTTGTTACGAAACCGAACTATTTGAATACAAATTTGTCGCCACGCCTTGTTGACAACAAAACTGATGCCGATACAAACAGTGAAAAACACTTCGGTTGTTTGATTTTATCACTTAAAAAGCATACCGCCGTTTTTGAAGTTGACAGTTTTACGCGCAGGCAATTCAAAGCATTAAAAGTTTGTTGACAAATAGTGCGCATGGTTGCCAAGTAACAGTCCTGAAGGAATTACAGATAAATGCAATTACCTGCGCACATCGAAGGGCACCATTCTCATGAAGACGTTTCATACTGAGAAGCAAGAAAACTCAACATCCAGTCAAACACGCAGAAAAAAGAGCAAACTGGAGGAAGAATGAGCGCATGCGCACCATGTTAAAAGTCCGCGCGAACTTAACAAACAAAAACTCGCTAAAAAATTCAATTATCAAAATTTCAGTTTATTTTGGTACTTTGCATGGGAACGCATTCGTTTGGCTAACATTCAATTCTCAGAACAGGAAGAATGAGAGCATGAGCTGTTAATCAATTGTGTTGCACGATCCCATTCGGTAGCTAATCATATCACATGATATTCTTAAACAACGCATGTTGCGTTTGGAGTTCAAATGACGGCTGCAATTACAAAAACTACCATCTAATCAAGTTTCATTTCAATAACTTTGCCTTGGAATCGCCTTTCTTGCAACACAGGAATTGCAATTACAACCGAATAAAACACATCGAGACTTATCAAAACTACAAAGACGTTTTTCTCGATCTGGTCAGAAGCAAACAAAAGAACAAATGCTGGCAGGTTGATCAAGATTCGGTAACTAATGAAGGCGGGGCTTAAGCTATGATTGACATTGCTGGCTCCCACTACGTGGTACAAGCCGTGCACGGATATAAGGAACAAGTAAGAGGCCAAATAACCTCCCGAATACCCTTGAAATGGCTCCAAATGGAACATCCGCTGTGCAAGATCAGGCCTGACAACTAAAATGAGCCAGAATAATAACTGGACGATTCCGAGAAGGAAAATGACCAACGTAGAGGTGGCTGTTAGAGGCCTACGTGGCTGTAGAACTGGTGTGGAGATCTCGACAAAAAAGGAACCAATCGAGGCTCTGTTTGATTCACGGCACCAAATAACTAGGGTGATGAGAGCGAGAGACGAGTCAAGAACCATGAAAAACAGAGCGAAAGAGAGGGGCAGCATGTTTCTGAGGATCATCATCACAAGTATTGAATCAACAAAAAGCAAGCGACCAACAACTGAGGTCAGACATTCCTGATGCGGGGACATCTTACGATTGGAGCGAGCTGCAATCATCAGAATGAGGCCAATTTCGATCACTCCGAGCCCCGCCAAACGAAGGTACCCCTCAGAACGGTCCTGAAGGTCCAGCTGCAATATGAAGGCCCAAAGCTGAGGGGCGAAGAGGAAGCTGGCGCCCCCGATGACATAGGCGAGTAGGCAGGACCACTGAGTGAATCTTTCTGTTTTGGTCATTGGTTCCGTGCGAGGAATGGACAGCATGAATTTGAACCAGTTGGAGATTATGATGGGCACTCTCATGAACATGGCTCTACAAGCAGAAAAAATAAAAATTGAGGAACGTTCTGAGTACCAACAACATTTGCGTTAGATACGCTTGCTTAAAAATTGTCATAGTAAAATTACACACTAGCTGAAGATGTTATAACCGGAATATTTTATATTTTCCTACTTGCTATTTGCCACAAAATCTAAGACTCCTTTGAGTTAACTAGTGCGTTGGCCATTTTGAAGGCAACGACTTAGCATGACCGTATAGACCCAACAGCTCCCCATAGAGTCTCTGTGGCTCAGTGGTAGAGCATCGGAGCGCGGAATCCGAAGGTCTGAGGTTCGATTCCTCATGGGAACTCAGAACGTTTTCTTTATCCCAAGCTCGTGACGAGACGAAAAACATCTTTCCCTCTATTTAATCAGTTGGAGTTTATGTCACTAGCTATCCAGTTCTGCATAAAATAAGTCTTTCTTTTTTTACCGGCACGAAGTCTTTCCTGATGGAGATTGTCCTATTCATTCCATCTTTCCCCCCCCCCACCCCAATCTTTTCTTTCTCCTTTAAATTGGCCTCCTAGCGAGAAAGAAATTCCACTCTGGAGAGTAGACACGCGGGTGGTGTAAACTTCGTGTTCTGTTTCGTGCGAGACTTCTCGCCCGCGCGTGGCAGTCGAAGTCTCCTACGTTTGAGGGCCTGCTGCCAAAGACTACCTTGTTTAATAGCTATTGGAAGTAAGAACTTTCTTTTGTCTCGGCATAATATTTAACATAGTAGGTATTAGACACAGCTTTAAACCCGTTAAAAAGCTATGATTAAACAAAGTTTGCGTTAAGTTAGCGGAATTCGCGAAAAAAGAGCACAAAGCCTTTGTAGAATTCGAAGGATTCGCGACAGGTTATGTAAATTAAGCTTTCACAGTTTGTTAATTGCATTTTGTTAGCAGGTTATAATTACTGATTTTTTTTGCTTATCATTACCAGCTTCTATTCCGTGGAAGTAGCTCCCGTAGTTAAGTTTGCAGAATCAATTTAGGACAGATTCAGGACAGAACGTCAACATCTTCCCCTCCCTTGACAAATAACCGAAATTTTATGGCATTAATACCAAACATCAGAGACACAGCTTTAAACCCCTCACAAAGCAGTGATAAAAACAAAGTTTGTGTTAAGTTCATGGAATTCGCGAAGAAAGAGCGCGAGGTCCCTGTAGAATTCAAAGGATTCGCGACTTGTTAGATAAACTGGGCTTTCACAGTTTGTTAGCTGCATTTTGCTGGCAGTTTATAATAACTGATTGTTTTTGCTTATCATTACCAGCTTCTATCCCGTGGAAGTTGTTCCCGTCGTTAAGTTTGTAGAATCAATTTAGAACAGATTCAGGACAGAATGTCAACATCTTCTGCTCCCTGACAAATTACCGAAATTTTGATAGGAAAGCAAAACAAAATGCTGCCGAGCGCGCTGGGATTACCTAAACCAATTGAGAGTTGAGATTGTGAACGAGGTAACAAAAGTTTGTTTGTGGAGTCAAAATCTAAAGAAAATGAAAACAATCCTTTTGTTTTCATGACATAATTTAATCATTCACTATTTGTGTGATTCAGAAGTAGATAGCTTCCATTCTGCAAAAATCAACCCATTACAGACCTTATCCACAGTTTTAGCTGTGAGACCGTATGTATCGGGATCTATATTAAGCGAACACCAGCTCTTCCATTTTTCTTCTCATTTATTGTGTTCAGCGCACAAGTCTGTTCCACGGACGCAAAAAAAAAAATGAATTTAGGCACCCTAACCAGGTAAGGAGGCACTTAAAGAGGTTATTCTCAAATTTCAAATATTTCAGGAAACCTGTGCACTTTTAACTGGCGTTCAGGTCACGTTACAGAATGTTATACAACTTTTAATGATGTTAAACACGTATGGCATATTGAGACCCAAAGTAGAAAAAGCGAAACACAATTTCTCTCAACCTCGTTCCCAGGGTCCTCTCTATTCCTCATTTGAGAAAGTTTTTCGAGGGAGGAAAAGAGAGGACCCTGGGAACCAGGCTGCATTTCTTTACCTTCAACACAACGTTTTAGCAAATGGATTTATTCCTTGTTATCTTAAGTAATAGAGGGTATAAAGAAAAAACATTTAAAAAATTGTTCACTAAGATCTTGTTATGGTTTAATTTGATTAATTTTTTATTTGAACTGCGGTTTTACAAGGATTTCCAGCCCCGAGAAAAGCCATGACTGCACACTTAAAATAACGTCATTTTGTCGGGTGTTTGATATCGCCAATCAGCTGCTGACACGTCACTCGCCTTTCGCGCCACTCTGTCAGGTTGATGAATGAATGGCAAAGCGTTCACCACGCTCAATCCAAGGTCATTTGTCGAATTGTCTCGTCTATGGTGTTTATATGATGAACAAAATAATATATTTTTGCTTGTAGATGTCGAATTTCTCTCTCCGTGATCAACTCAGTATGTCAAATCGATGTCTCACGAGTGAGTACAGTTTTGTGTTTGTTGGAATTTTCCAACAAATCAAATTTCTATCACCTCAGTTTCGTTGTTCTGGAATCGCTTTTCTTGCCACACGGGGATAGTTATCACAACAGAATAAAACACATCGAAACTAGTCAACACAACAAAGATGTTTTGCTCGATCTGGTCAACAAAAAACAAAATCACCAACACCGGCATGTTGATCAAGACGCGGTAACTAGTGAAGGTGGGGCTTAAGCAATGATTGACATTGCTGGCTCCCACTACGTGGTATAAGCCGTGCACGGATATAAGGAACAAATAAGAGGCTAGATAACCTCTCGAATATCCCTGAAATGGCTCCAAATGAAACATCCGTTGTGCAAAATCAGGCCTGACAACTAACACGAGCCAGAAAAACAGCTGGATGACCCCGAGAAGGAAAATGACCGACGTAGAGGTGGCTGTTAGAGGCCTACGTGGCTGTAGAACTGGTGTGGAGATCTCTCTGAAAAAAGAACCAATCGAGGCTCTGTTTGATTCACGGCACCAAATAACTAGGGTGATGAGAGCGAGAGACGAGTCAAGGACCATGAAAAACAGAGCGAAAGAGAGGGGCAGCATGTTTCTGAGGATCATCATCACAAGTATTGAATCAACAAAAAGCAAGCGACCAACAACTGAAGTCAGACATTCCTGATGCGGGGACATCTTACGATTGGAGCGAGCTGCAATCATTAGAATGAGACCAATTTCGATCACTCCGAGCCCCGCCAAACGAAGGTACCCCTCAGAACGGTCCTGAAGGTCCAGCTGCAATATGAAGGCCCAAAGCTGAGGGGCGAAGAGAAAGCTGGCGCCCCCGATGACATAGGCGAGTAGGCAGGACCACTGAGTGAATCTTTCTGTTTTGGTCATCGGCTTCTCGCGAGGAATGGACAGCATGAATTTTAACAAGCCGAACATGATGATGATAATTATAGTTAAAATACCTCTGAAAGAGAAAAAAAGATTTGTAATGGAGTCCAGTTCTGACGGAAAGAAAATGCTACGCAATACTTGGAGTTCGAGATGTCCGCGGTAAATGAAATGACGGCAAATTTTTGGAGTAAAGTTTGATTCGCGGTCAGGCGAACTCTGATCTTTGGGCCATTTTATTAAAATCTCATTTCAGATCTGAAAGATTTAAAAGGAAAATTTCATATAATTCTTTTTGTTTACAATTTGATGATTGGATGCCCTTCGAAGAAAAGAGAAAGTTATTCGATAAAGGCTTTGGAACTGAGAGATAAAGAAACCCGAATTAAGATTTAACCTTAAGTTAGCGTTAATTAGCATAGGAACAAAGAGGAAAAAGGAAAGAAAATAGATATGTTTGAAAATTTAGACTTTCGTTCACGAAGAATGAAAATTTTGTAAAAGTGAGCGGTCAGCAGGACCGACGTTTTAGTCCTACATTTTAAGCTTTCCAGGCAAATGGGAAAAAAACAAGCCAGGAAGATAAATGATAAAAAAAATTTAAACGCACGTAATATAACGTGCTAAGTCCACTTTACATTTATTTCATGACCGTCTGGTCTCTTCAGGCCGTTTTCAACGTCATTTTGTCGACTTCCTTTTGTACCTGGTGTTGTCTCTTTTCAAAATAGCGGAATAATGGTAAGGAAGTTATACACGTAATATTTCGTGCGTTGAATAAATTTATTTGCCCCCTAATAAAAAAATTTATATCTTCTGCCTCTGCTATATTGTTAATATTTAACTAAGATACTAAGTCAAAACTCGAGGGGGACTGGGTCGTAACATCTGAAATCGATTGAGCAACCGTAACAAGACTATCTGATGACTTTGAAATCAATACTGTTCTTTGCGCAAGAGTCACGATCTCTTTTGCTTTAATTTATGTTTTTATGTCTTCCGGGCACTTCCTTTTTTGTTGTGCCCTAAATTTTGTTGGAGCTTACAAAATTTAAGATCGTTCATGATCAATTATTTAAGATTTAATTTTTAGCCATAAATAGGCCATCTTTTCATGGCCGAAATTTATTCCGACAACGACCTTGTCTGGTTTCCATTTATTAAAGCTCTCTTTTAAACAAAACTTGACTGGTTACCTAGAAATGGACCAACATATCGACACTGGTATAATTTCACACCTCTATGCATTTCTGAGGAAAGGAGACATGAATGTTTGCTTTGTTTTTTCACGGCAAGAGTAAACACTTAAAATTCAATTTAAATTTTATCCCACAACCGAGAAATATTCAGAAAATATCGATTTCAGTGAACTGAAGAGTGATTGAACACAAATAGACAGAATGATGGATTTCATACTGAGGAAATTTTGGCCTGTACTACTCGAATTAAATATACTTATTCAGCATATTAGATGTTCCTGCTGACGACCTTTAAACCCCGAAATCACACATGACACGCTTGGGCCGCCTATGATATAACCAGGATACTGGTATACCAGTCTAAAGATTCGTCGAGATCTAGAACTGCTCGTGGCAAGAGGCTCTTGACGGTTAATATTCAGCTAGGTTTTTGACGGTTCAAGGTAAATAGTTATCCTTTCTGACAGTGGACCCCATTGGCAACGACGTAAAACGAAATACGAGAGACATGCAGCCATTAATTAAAACTAACCTTTTTTTTTAACTCAAGCTGAGATGAAGTCAAGATATCTTTGCCACAAAACTGCCAACGGAAATGGATTTATTTATTTTCAGCTGACATATGAAGATAATTAGGATAAAAAAGGACTCCGATGGAGATCCTGTTAAATTTGCTGAAACCGGAAGTCAATAGCTTTAGGGCTGCCACGGAACTTCCTTCGCAACAGTGTTTCATTTGAACCGTCGTATATCTTCCTTGTGCCTTCAACAATCGTTACGACGCGTCATGAACTTGTTTAAAAAATAGGTTAGCTCAAACCGAATACAAACACAAAACTTTTTTAATCATTTGTGTGTGTATTAACAGGAAATCCCGTTTCATAAGCTCCCCCTTCCCCTCCCCTCCCTTAACCACTTCTCTGATTTGTTAATGCAATAATAACTGAACATCACATTCAGATCAAAGAGAAAAAAATGTAAATTATCTTTTCTAATGTCAAGAAGCGTGGGGTGCCTTGATTAGCCTTGTGAGGTGAAAATGTGGTGACGTTTGGTTGTACTTCGTTAATTTTATTTTTCCGGTAAGATTAAGAATATCTTATTTCTCCTAACTGCAACAAGCCTACCAAAATCTTTCGAAGTTATCATCCACGGTTAATAACGATGTTTTTAATTTAAGTTACCACTTAATTCGTTAAGAAAACAGAGATAACAAAGGTCGCTTCGTATGATTCTATTAGCGAACAAAGAGCTCTGTGATAACTGTTAAGGTTTCAGGGTTTAATGCTATGTTTGTTAAATAGAGGAAACTACAGGTAGCTTCAGATTTCTTAGACACAGTCGACGCTCTTATTAGCGGAAACTTAAAAAAAGCAGACAAGCTCTGCAATTGGAACTGGCGTTTCAGAACAACGTGTAGATAAAGAATCTGTATTCGGGTGTTTGGCCGCAAAGAGGATTTATGTGAATCGAGTCGAGCACATAGGGTCCGCCAAAAGAAAAGTTTGCTTACCAAAATAGTCAGATCAAGTGACTAAGACTTGAAACGATGAACAGTGAAGTACCAGTTCTTTCGGCTTGTGACAAGCGAAGAAATAGACACCTACAGCTTGGGGTGTGCGTGCAGAAATCCTCTTTGTTTGCTGAGATGGAAGGATATCGATACTCAAGATTAATTGTGACCAAGTTTCAGTCCACGGGCATCCGTCTCAGATCTGTCAGCTCATGTCAAATCTTATGTTTGCAAAACCCTTGCTGATTTTTTTAATTCGCCTTAATTCGCCTTATTTGTCGGTAAAGATTAAGGCGAGACCGAGCAAACAAGATGTAAACAAGCAAAAAAGATTCGCGTTTAAGCTTAGTGATATTGACAACGCTAAGCTTTTATAAATCGAGTAGCATTTAACATGGTATTAATTGTCGTGCACGAAACATGGAATTCATTTTCCTCAGCAGGGAATGGGAGATAAACTACTTTAAGGTCACTTAAAAAATAGATAAGATAACAATAATGGAAATGACTATCGTAATGGTGATATCACCAGCGATAAACTCTATCTTACGCAGGATGTACAAAGGTTGACTATTATTTACATTGGAGCAATGCCTACTTCTGTCAAGAAGTGGAACGAGGAATAAGCCAGTATCCAACTGGGACTAACCGTTGACTTTTTTCACGGGGAACGGAGTGGAGATGGAGTTCCAACTTAAAAGGGGGTCATTTATGAGTTAATGAGCCTTAAGGGAGGACCAGGTAAATTTTATTGTGGCAGAACCAAAATTTCCCGCACCCACCCCGGCGGTAAATAAGGTTTGGTCCCTTAGACAATCGCGCGCCGTGAGAGAGTGGGGAAAGGGTGGAGCACTTGAAGTTGGCCATATTTAAGATAATACCCTGTCAGTAACAGACAGGTAGAAAAGTACCCCAGCTGATCAAGCCCTGCTTGACCTGTTCAGACTGTGCTCGTAGAACGCCGGAAAATTGCTCGCTAGAATGCCAAAAAGTTGCTAAAAGATTGCAAAAAATCCAAAAAGTTGCCAGCTTAGTGTCTTGATATTTTCATATACACGTTAATTAAAAGCTTTTAATTAGTTTTTGTTCTTCGCACTTATTGCTAGCATCAGTCCAGGAAAATAGCTTGAAAGTTATCTTGAAAGAGTTGCTCGCGAGTATACAGCTATTTCAATTTACGTTGTCGGATCAAAGCTTCAAGGCATCCATAAAGCAGCTGCAACCTCATCCACTTAAAACCCCAACATTTCTTTCATCCAAATGGCTCGCCATCGGAGATCTTCGCTGTATGGACGAGGCATTGTTAATTTTGCTGATAATTATTCATTAAGATCCCATATTCCCCTTCGGTCTTGTCTTGTAGGCTTAAGGCTTTGATCCGACAACGTAAATTGAAATAGCTGTAGACGAAATTTAAGGAACTCTGTAAGTCTAAAGGAACAAAACACATGGTTCATTGGACGTCTTGCCGATCGTCGTTCGAACGGATTTTCCCAAGTAAGATTAGAAAAGGATCGCAAAAGGTCTGCGAAACGTTTTCTAGTGACAGGTTATGTGTTCAAAAAGCTTATAAAAATTCAAGAAATTCGCACAAATTGAAGTTTTTCTATGAAACCGTTGACTTTTTCGTGCTTGATATTTCCTTTAAACCCATATTTCGCTCAAATCAATCGAGGTTATTAGAACCACAAAACGTTGCTGCGAAGGCCAAGATTTGCTCTAAAATTGCCGAGCACAATCGAGAGGCCTAGGTTGTGCTAAAAGCTTTGCTGGTATTTGTATAATAGTACTTGAGGCTCTGAGTGTTTGCAAAAGTATAGGAGGGATTGAGTACAGTATTACAGATATTCATGTATTTTACCGTATCTGTGTCGCTAGTTTCCTTTAGACTTTATTTTTATTGATATTTTTTATTGTTGCGAGATGACGATTCCTGTCTTCACCATGCCGAGAGGACACTACAAAAAACTCTTTCTTAGACTGATGGGGGGGGGGGGGATTCACATATCCCCTACCCCCCCCAAGGGGCTCCTAAGAATCTGCCTTCCATAACGCCGATTGAATTGTGTTTCTTGTGTATGCCAGAGATAAATTTGTATATGTAGTTTACTTCCATTACTTTTCGTTGTCAATCAATGTTAAAAACCTGAAACGAATCTAGTTTCGATGTTTGCGACTGTGCATTTGATCACTGTTGTGGTTACTTCTCTTGACACTATATTAAGTCTTACATGTAGTTCTACCCTAGAATCGAGGCGAGGTGGCGAAATAATGAACCTCACATTTTCCTTCCCTTTCATTTTCATCGCCTGCAACCAAGGCTACGATTAATTTTAATTATCTTCGAAACTCTCCCCAACATAACAAATAAAATACCAGTTCTAGCTGGCTTAACAAGTGTGCTTTTTTGCGTTTTCCGGGCCAACAGAGGCAAACGCGCTATTTCCCTCGCGCGTGATTCGTACTTCGCTCTCACCTCGCGCCTACCTCGCGCCTGCCTCACGCTCGTCCGTGTTTCCGCGCCACTGAAAAACGCAAAATAAATTACGCCCGTTCAGCAGGCTTTTATCAACAATTTTAGGCTCTTTCGTAGTTCTTAATCTTACTCCTAACAATACAGTTTAGTCTCTATCTTCATGTTTTAGCAGTGTTTCTTCAGAAATCTCAGTTGACGATGTGGTAGGATTTTGGCCAAAAGCCAGAAATAGTAAAATCATAATCGAAAAACATATGTCGAGACTCATCAAAGCAAGGAAAACATTGCGCTCAATCTGATCCACCAAAACCAAAATGACTAGCACCGGTACACTGATGAATACTCGGTAAAAAAGGGCCGCTGGGACAGCCGGTCGATTAACAGAGCATGCGTTCGCCATGTGATACCAACCATGAATGGATAGGGTGAAAAACGCACTTGCCAAGAAGCCAGCGGAGTGACCATTGAACTCATCAAGCTGTAGGATGTCATAAGCGATGTCAGGCCTTATAAGAAACACGAGCCAGAAGAACAACTGGAACACGCCAACGAAAAAGATGACTACCATTTCTGCGCAGATGTTTCGGCAAGAAATTCCCGAAGAGGATTCTTCTGTTTCACGGCGCAATAACACCAGGGTGATCAGGGGAAGTGATGTATCGATCACCATGAACACCAGCGCAAAAGATAACGGGATATAGCCTCTGAGGACCATCATGAGTATGATCCCATTTACGCCGATGAGACGCGATGGAATGGACCCTAAAATGACCCCGTGCCTGGGTACTTGGTTATTGGAGCGCGCGGAGATGACGAGTATAAATCCAATTATAAATACACCCAATCCAACAAGACGAAGGTACCCCTCAGTACGACCCTCGAAGCTTAACCGTAACAAAAACTTCCACAGCTGAGGGCAAAGAAGCAAACTGGCTCCTCCCAGGCAATAGGCGATCAGGGCCGACCACTGGGTGAATTTTTGTGTGTTGGTCAGCGGTTGTGTTCTCGGGTAGGACACCATGAATAAAAACCAGTCACAGAGAGCAACTTTGGTGGTCACCATGGCTCCGTCTAAAATTTGATTTAAAATAATTAAAGAATTACTCTTCTCCTTCAAGTATCGCGAGGGGATATTATTGGTTTCCCAGTCTGCATAAAACAGATGTCCGCCGAGTGGTTCATTATAGAAAGGGATTAGTCTTTATTTCTCGCCGGGGTGGATGAAAGGATTTTCGCGGGGGATGGAGGGGGAATCAGTCGTTTATGACGGAGTAAATAAAAAGGCGGGGACTAGTAAATTTACCGTTAATGAGGGGGTATCATTTGAATACAACAGAGCCTTAGAGGGGAGGTTAGGTAAATTTAATTGTGACACAACTAAAATCCTCATATCCTTTCCACCCCCCCCCTCCCCCTGGTACGCTAATTAATGACCAATCTCTTATTGAGGGAGGGGTGACTGGGTGAGTTTCCGTTCAATTAATGCGGGACTTATTTAAAACAGTTATCACTGTAATCTGTTATTTCTGCCTTGCGGTTTCAAACGAACAAAGGTTTTTATACGGGTCAATGAATATCTGAGTGTGCTCTTCATTGACGCTCCTCTAACCGCCTCACTCGTAATCTTTCTTCGTAAGAATGGTACTTTCCATACAAATAACTCGAGACGTTAATGACAGAGTATTGAACCTTGATGGAAAAGTTAAACTATAGAGAAAGTATTTTTTCTTCACAGCCCGCTTAAAAGAGGCAGGTGCATATTTATTAATTGTTGTTCAAGTCCTCTTTACCTTCGTTCCTAGAAAAAAAATTTAAAAATACGGTTTTATTTATTTCACAAATCCTGGTCTAAGTGATCGATGAAAGCTTTTCGATCTCATTTCAGTCTCGGTCATCTGAGTCGTCCTGTACTTCTGCGTTTATGATTCTTCAAGAAATCGAATTCAACTTATGTAACTGAGCTTATACTCAAAGAACTTATCCCACTCGACAATATCTTGGACTATTACTCAACAATACACAGGATTAGCTGTATTGTAACCGCTACAAACCGTTACTCGAAGACCTCAATTAACTCTATGAAATAACCAAAAGCACTGGAAATTAAGACGTAGAAGTGTCTGTGTTTACAGTATCGCGCTAAAGTGGCAACACAGTCAACTTCAAGGTTTAAAACTGAAAAATTCCATGAAGGTAAATAACTTGTTCTAACCAATGCAATCACTGACTTATTTACCTGCCATTTGCTGCGTATCCGCCGCTGGAGCTCCTTACAATCGTAGTGTAATTTCTTACGTCCAAACAAGAAAGCGTCGTAATAAGGAACTTACAAAACCGATTGTGCTCGTTATGCAAATGTAATCTTCTGTCGCCTTTGTCCCGGAAAGCAAGCTAATTAAGCGTTAATTGTACGGCGGTAAAAAAGGTTTAAAATTAGCTGTAGTCGACGTTCCTTTCTGAAAGCTCGTTGCTGCTTAGGAAACACATTGAAGATTTAGTTAAATTTTTTTAACATCTAGAACTGAAAGAGCGCAATACAAATTATATAAACATAGTCTTCTATATCAACAATAGAACTGTAGGCTTGTCACAAAATGTGAAAAGAAACTCCCAACACGGTCACTTTTTTTGTCAATTTTCAGCCTTTTCTTCGTTAAATTAGATGATAAAACATGATTTTTCAACGCATATTTCTATCTTTCTTGGCCATCCAAAAATGGCGCCAAAAACCCTAACAAAGCCAACACTTGTTTACCACGAAATATATTTTTGTTCGTTTCAGCTCGCGAGCCATGTCAACGACTTAAAATACATAAACGGAGGAAAAGATATTTGAAAAACCAACTAAATGGGCTGAACAGTAAAACTGCTATTATTCTGTAAAAATGAATTGTTTGTAAATGGTTTCTAGGGGATAAAAGCCTCCCGTACAAAATTTCATTGTTATGAAAAAGGTTATTGACACTAGTACTAATGTATGCAAATAGCAGCCTTGCATCTTTGCATTTCATTGTTTAAGTTTTGAAAGAACGCAGATTTAATGGCGAAAACAACGGAAAATCAAATTAGTAAGGCTTAAATTCAAATACTTTCTTTTATGAAAACATCAAACCTGAAATTGGCTAAGGTAAAAGATTAGTTTGAGCGGGAAATTCACGCTCACACGCATGACTGACATGTTGTAAAGCAGGGATATTACTTTGACATCAGTGGGTCAGTGACTGTTGATCATTTTTATTTCCTCTAGTCCTGCCTGATGACTAATATTTGAAAAATAAAAGGCTCGTCGATCAAAGTGACCGCTGAGAGCAAAGGACTATTATTGTGGATTTGTAAAGCCTGCTGGTTTGCAACACGGTGATGAAACACAGGGCATGCGGAAATCGGTCAAGTTTGGTTAGACACGCACCAATTTCCCGCGCAAAATATTATAGGTAAAACGACTGAAACAACCATTACAACGCGAAAAGATGTAAAGGTTCGTAGTGATCTGTTGAAGGAAAATAAAAATTGTGTTATCTACTGTCTAAACACTTTTTTTAGGTCCTGTACGATGACCTGCTGTCCATGGCGTAGATTCCGAAGGCTCGTTCTGCACAGATGCTTCATGAAAGTCACACGTTGCCATTTCCGTAACAAAAAGCTGTTCACATGACAGGGTTGTCAGCCCTGTGCAAAACCCCCAAGCCTGGAGGACTGGTAGATCGCTCTTTGTCTGAGAATATTCAAAATAGGATGGTTTCTCCAAACAGTCTGAATGAAACTACAAACTTTAATCTAAGTTGGGCTGTAGCTCCATACTCTCTTTGCCACTCTATTATGAAACCATGTAAAAACTGGAATTACAACTCATCCTTGCCCACAGTTGTTGACAACGGTAAAAAAAGATATGTCGTAAATAAGGTTAAGAACACAACCAGGGATAAACCAATAATTGTATAAGAAAACTTAGGCAAAAAAGGTTGCAGATTCGTGATGAGGACTTGACCGCGATTTGCGACCGAACAAAGCCGGAATTTCAACTCGGGTATTTCCTTTGAAAAGCCTGAGTAAAGAGGGAGAGGGTGGACTCAAGGGTACAATTGGTATGGAGGCTCCGGGTAATGGGCTCCTGTGCCTGCTAAATAAAGAGCCGTGCAGATCAGCACGTGCGTTTTCAAACAATATAAATGTTTTAGCCGCCCTCAGCAAAGCAACTCCCGACATCACCAAAACCTGTGGTTCTAAGAACGCGAACCAAGATGACCAATTCTGACACAGCCACCCATTTGTGAAATTGTAAAGAAAATTATACATTATTTTTAATCCATGTTTCCTCAGCTTTGCCGTCCTTTTTCCTTTTAAGGTCCCTAATCCGACGCAAACTCGTCGCTGTATTATTCCTAGAGTCCAGGCTATATCTAAGTTATTTCCTTCAGGGACCGTTGTGATCTGACAAACCTGACCATTCTCCTTTCAGTGCTGGTTGCCGATAGTTCTTGCCGTAATTCATACTCAACATCTTATCCACATCTTTCACAGTCACGAATTGTTTATTGTTGATGGTGGCAATGGACGATCCTTCCATCAGGGCTTGACCTGCCTCATAAAAATCTACATAGCCACGTTGTCTCCAGTACTGAGACACTGGCAACATTCCCTTTACTGCTTCTTCCAGATCACTACTGAATAATGTTTTGCCTTCTAAGTCTTCAGGCCCGTCAAAATAAGGGGCTGTATTTACGTCGATGTACGGGGGCACAAGAATATGCCCCCTGGGCATGTCCATGAAAGACATACCTATATAGTATTGGTTTTCGAGAACCTTTTCAAGAGCAGTATACGTTGAAGCATTTTTATACACAGAGCTAGGTAATGCAATATCTACGTCGTATGTCCATGGTATGATCGCTTTACTCCTGACAGCCCCTAACAAGGTGCCATCAACAATTCGGTATTCTAGCCCCAGTTTGTTTAGCCCTCTCACAAAATCGCTCAGCATTTTCCATAAAACAGTGCTGCAACAGATCGGTGCAGCTACGCCGGGTAGACCTCTTGGCTCTACATAGGGCTTCTCCGGGCACATCTTCCAGTTTGCGACACAAGCCGTCCATTCTATTCTATTCTCCGTTACGATCCGAAGTACCGTATGTTTGTTGGCAAAATTTGCATATTCAGGAACCTCCTTTGAGCCTTTCAAATTTCCTCGATCCGTACGCTTGATTTTGGATGTCCACGCGCAAGAACCAAGCTTTGCAATCTTCAATTCGCCCTTTGATCGTAGAAAAAACTCCAATAAGGATAATTTCCCAAAACCTTCGATTAATCCTCCAATTTTCTGAAACACATCCTTCCTTATTACAAATGGACCTTGCACTATATTGCAGGTTTGTACAAGCGCGTCAGTTGTCCCAGTTTCACTGTCGGAGTCAAGCCTGAGAGACTTTTGTAGCGTGAGGTTTTTTACAGGGCCTGTATTCCTAATGTGAACGCTCCACATTTTTTTCACAAAACGACACCAAGATTGATCCAACGTGAAATTTCCAGAGGCTTTCATTTCATGGCTTCCCTGTTGTTGCATACAAGTTGCACCATGAAATTGTTTCCTTGAACGAAGAAAATCACTCAACATCCTTACGGAATGTTTGTCTTTGTCCTCCAGTACACGATCAATTTCCAGCTCTTTGGTTGAAAAGGGCAAAATCAACAGATAGAGAGTATTGTTATTCACCGCACTGGAATAAGACAGATCCGAATGAATGACAGCCATTGAATCTCTCCGAGAGAGCAACGCACTTGAATTAGAAACGTTAAACTTTGTTGAGTTCGATATCCTGAGTATTTGCGTTTCTATTTCAGAGTCGTTGCGTTTGACATTTTTTCGCCAGTTCAAGTTCAAACCAACGAAACACACATAACAAAGATACGAATATAGTATCAGAGACGACAAACATAAAAAATATTTTCGCTTCCATCCCATTGCGCGAGAAGCTCACTTTTTTGGGATAAAAAATATTCGATAACAATTATTTTTTGTCACAATTTGGTACTATTGAGCCAATTTTCCAGCTTTCAACAATTAATTTAGAGCCAGAAAAAGTGGATGAGCTGGCGCCTTAGGTGTGGTAGCATTATGATTTTAATAAACGTTAATTAAGGAATATATTTTCGTTTGATCAGTTCCCCGTGAAAAATTAACTTCATTCTGTGTAAGAAATGGTGTAACCATGGTTTCCATTCGTGATGACCATCATGACGGGGAAGTCTCTTCTTTATATATCCATATCGTCGACGGATTTGGATATAAACTCTATTTCAGCAGATTAGGAGAACCTTAAATACTTATTTTGATGAGGGAAAATACCATGAGGGTGCGGTTGCTTCATGTAAATTTTGACAGACATATTGTCTCTTCTCTTGTCAATATATATGCAATGAGTCATTCTAGTCTATTCCCTTTCTCAAAAAAGAGGACAAGTATAGCTCTCACTCGAGAACGACAATCCAGGAAATTTGATTTCAACGAAATGATATTTATTATTTTTTGCCTCAAAATGTGTTAACATCGTCAAGACAGAAAGATACCAAATATGAATGACTGAATGTCACCTGCGTGAACGCGTTCATCACGGTCCATGAGAAAATTGCTATCATGGTACAAAGGTAAACATAGCTTGAAAACTATCTATCTAATGTCTTATCAACACTGTCTATGGGTTTCGAATAACTTTCTCGGAAAAAAATATAAAAAGTAAATATATGCTGATTATTTTATTTACCTCTCGAAAAAACCTACGTTTTAATAAATGATCTTAAATTTTCATTCTCGAAAAAGGCGAGCACTTTATCAATGTGATACTGTTCCATTTTTCTAGTTAAATTCGTTAAGAAGGATCATTTGACTAATAAGCGATTCAGATAACTTTAATTTTCATTCAGATGAAAAGAAAATTCGGGAACGAAAAGCGCTCAATTGCTATGCGTAGCTGAGGGAGATTTTGGGTACCATGGAGACCAGGCAAAACGAGGCTTGCTCTTTTTTAAGTCCATTTCGGTCTTCTTGACAGGTTAAACAAAGTTATGAGAGAATTATTTTTGTCTCAATTTGGTGCCATTGATTCCGCCAATTTCCCAGCTTTTCATCATTTTAATCTGACACTGACAGACTTGGCGAGCGATCACAGGCAATTTATCTTATACCATTTAGCTATGGCAATTTTAATTTTCTTCTAGGATCGATGAACGCTTTCATGCCGGTTACAATCGTTCATTCCTATTTTAGAATATCTCTTAATCGTAACGCTCCTCGTTCAAACAACATTTGCACATTTGGTAGCAGATCAGAGTGGCTGTGAGCCAGTCAACTCGGAAAATGTTGTACTGAAGGGTGGGATGTTGGGGCCACTGAGCTGACTTCGACTTTACGACGCTTTATCCTCTTTGTCTGCTGCTCCCTCGATGCACGTAATCAATTTCATAGACGCTCTACATACTTGACGCAATAGATTGTGCTTCTTCTTTCAAGCAAGAGGTTTAACCCTTTACCCCAAGAGTGACTAATATCTAATTTCCCCTTACAACATCACCCCGAAATCAAACATTAAGGTCATGAGAATAAAGGAGATGATCACCAACTAAAGAAACCCTTGATTGTTGAACAAATTCTCCTTGTCAGAACCCTAGGAAATGTAGAGAGAACAGTATGGAGAATATGCATGCTGATGTTAGGGAGTAAAGGGTTAAGGATCGATCATTTGTCGCTGGAAACTTTTTTGGGAGGGGGGGTCTTTCCTTTTTCTTCTTTTCCCCTCCCCTTTTTTATGTCTTTGATTGACATGCCCAGGAGACATATTCTTGTGCCCCCATACATCGACGTCAATACAGTCCCTCATTTTGACGGGATCCTGGGATCTAGAAGGCAAAGCATCATTCAGTAGTGAACTACTTCGTGGCCGTGAAAGATGGGGATAGAATCATATTGAGTATCGAATGCGACAATAACTACCGTCAACCAGCACTTCAAGGAGAATGGTTGGGTTTGTCAGATAACAATGGTCTGTGAGGCAGCAAACAGAGACTTATCTACGATTATAAGAGGAATGCTCCGCCGAGTCTGAGATTAGAGACCTTAAATGCAGACAGGACGACAACGCCGAGGAAAGCTTCGATTAAAACTGAATTTATTTTTCTTCATATTTTTCGGAATGGTTAGATGTCTTCATCGTATCTAATGACGCCAGAACTCAACTTCAGCTTAAAATATGTGAGCGCTTGCAACGTTGAGTTTTAAATATAAACATAAATGATTCCTCGTCAATGTTTAAACTCTCAGACCGCGTAAGTTTTGGTGATTTATGGTTTTGCTTTGCAGAGGGCGGTCAGCAATTATACAATGTTTTAAAATGCACGTACTTTTCTATTCGAAAATGGGTCAATTTCGGCCGATAAAAATACCTATTCCTACCTCCATAGTGACTTAAGGTGGACTAAATGTTGAAGTTGTTTTTCTTTATAAGATTTAGCCGAGTAAACTATTAAAGTTTCAGTTCGTTGAAAGGAAAACTCAATAAGCACCCCTTTCGATCAAGCACCTTCGTTCCAATAAGTGCCCCTCCTTTTAGCTGAAATTTTAAGTAAGCAACCCGGGCGCTTGATCGCGGAAAACGATATTCTGAGTCGACCAAAAAGCGACATCAAATTACACATAAAATATTTCCTAGGATCACATAGTCTCACGTAGTGATCGTCTTGAATAGGCTTCAGTTTTTATGCTTGAGTTGTGCAGCGAAGAATTCTCATCTGTCTGTCGTACTTCATCATTTTATCTTTATCTGTATGGTGCGTTAGTTATGCAACTATGTAGTCTCGTCGTTCCCAGTTCTTTGACGACCGACTAGACAAGTAGGACTTGGTTACGAGATCAAATACTTTCGAATATAAGTAAGCCTTGGGAAAAAATGACAATACAAGCTCAAACGGTGTAGACAACAGATAACTTAATGAAATTATTGTCCACGATTTACAACATATTTCAGTCTCAAGAAAAGAAAACTGTTTACTTATTTTCGCTCGGTAGGTATTTTAAGATACGTTACTCCCCGCACAGGAAACAAGCCGGCTACATTGAAAGAAAGTAAGGTTAGACAGATTAAGATTAAACGGAAAACATCTCATTTTATTAGATAGTTTGTAAATAAATGGTCCACACAATAATATTCAATCGACATTAAGGCTACAAACTAGAAGTCTTTCAAATTCGCCTTGAGTCTCTGTCTTACATAATTGCTCTTTTTATTTCTCTTACATTTTTTAAGTTTCGAATTCCCATTACAATTTTTTATGTACGAAATCGCTTGCTTATAATATGATCGCTTTAAGCTTGTACTAAACTGTAAATATAACAACTTTCTTTACACTTGTACCTTAGATTTTGACTGTTTTAACCCTGTAACCTCCCAGAAGTGATTAACATGAAAATTCTATCCGTGATAAACAGACACTATCCAGCAAAAATGCAACGAGAACGCTCAAAATTATCAGTAGAGACTTTTGTCTTGGTCTATTTCCAAATTCTCTATTTTGCAAGGAAGTGCAAAGCAACTGGAGGGGAGAATGAACAGTTTAAGGGTTAAAATTTCTTGTCATTGTCAGGTGCCTTTTGGTCTGTTGAATATTGCCGTAGCAGTTTTGTTAAGCGCAGTATTTCAACAATAACAACTTGCATTAACTCTTGGGAATGATAAAAACTAACCGAGAGCTAGAATTACGCTCATGCATTGGTCTTCCTTAAAACGCTCTTTGAAAAAAAATGCTACCTAACTTTTCCTAGGTCGCCCTCGTTTAAGTTTATGCCAATTTTCTCTTTCGATCAGGGTCTGCTTTCGTCTCCTATTTTATGATTTCATCAGTTTTTTCCTCAGCAAACAAAACAACAGAAATCGTTTTACGGCGATACGTGTAGCACTGCTGCGGGTACTGCTGGGATTGCACTTGGCTGCCTTGATCTTGTGGTGTGAATGGGTACCAGCTCTCCTTGTGCGTTGGATGTAGGTAAGATGCCTGGCTGACCATGATTGGTGGAGGAAACGACTCGTTCATCCACGACCTGCTGTGAGAACACGTGACCAAAAAGATTTCTAATGTGGTGGCTTAATGGTTTGAGAGTGAGCTTCTGATCAAGAGGTCCTGGCTCTATTCCCTGCCGGGTCATGTGAGTCAATCTCTTAGTTGGTCTTTTCCTCTACCTTAAACTTAACTCTGAACAATAATTTTTGGACCCTAAGCGGTCATGTTGGTATTAAGAAGTACCTTCTCCGCATACTTACTTTACTATGGTGGAGTCCGGTTTTGAATTGTCCTGATTCTCAAAAAGTAAAAAGCGTAGTCAAAGAAGATTTTTGTGGAAAGTTTTGCTTCCTTTCTTAAACTTCTGGTAGAATCTGAACTTTGAAGACGTTTTAAGTTATCAGGTACAAGTTGTTATCGCCAAGAATCAAACCTTTTTGCTTCAGATTGTCTGTTCCGGGCATTCAGTTTCTAAAACGGAGTGAAATGCTAAACGGCCCTGTATCAGCGGCAGAGAGAAAATGTGGGAGGCTTGGATCGGGCAGTGTTCAATACGTGACCTGACCCAAAACTCTCTCGCTTTTTCACTCCTTCGCTACTATCGTACCGTTTTCTGACGCACTTAGTTTCAGTTACTAAACGCCTGGAACAGGCTAAGATTTAGAAATTTTCGCTACCAATATTTCTCTGTCAGTCAAATTACCTCAGGGTTGTATTCGGTAAGATCTGGCATCTCTAAATCTTGTGGTTCCATCTCAGTGCTGCCAGGAAAATGCAAAAAGCAATAGTTGTTTATTAGCAGATTCGATGACCTTAATTGAGTGTAAATGAGCTTATACTCAAGGAACTTAAAGTGTCTACGGGTTCAAAGTTCGACGGCACACACATGTACATTAAGTGTCGATGAACTGTACTCAATGGTGATATTGTTTAATAACTGCAAATGTTCAGTCGATTGTTCTTCCGACATTTCTTCGACTCTTGGAACGACGGTCTTCAAGGTCTGCTCCAACGCAGTGACGATGACGTCACTTTCATCTTGACCTTGCACAGTAAAATGCACAGACATTCTTTTGTTGCAGTTGGCAAGAACCATGGTGTTTTTACATTTATCACATTTCACTAGCAAACTGGCTGAGGCTTGCAAAAGCTTTCTTGAACAGTGTACGCAAAGAGGGTATTGCTGAACCTTCTCCACAGTTTTTATGAAGAGGACAAATAACGGCAATTTATGCTCTTGTGGAACTTCATGAAGGCTCTTCCGTGGTTATGCCCTGGAACTTGTCATCATGAATGGCAGAGATGACGGAATTGGACATGTAGTTAACTTCTTGGCACCATTCCAGAAGCGCACACGGATGCATGTTATCTTGTAAACAGCGGCCGTGGTAATTAAAGCGAGATTATCTTCCGACAGGCTGATAGTTATCTTTCCTCTTAGATCTGCGATTGTCCCTTCAGCCAGGAGACTTTGTTTGCCAAGGCGAACCGTTGATATTTCATTGATGTTTCCTACCTTACCAAGGACTGACACTGAATCACCTTCTCTTGAACTCTGGAGCGATGGAGTAGGTAGTTCCCGTAGTTGCGATAATTCATATTAAATTTTCGTGTGAACACTCACAACACCAAAATTAATAACTTTGGAAGCGAAAGACTTATCTGGAGGTTTGAGCAGTTCCAAAATAGTCCTTACACTTTTTTCATTAGAATCTGTTGTACTAGCTTGCAAGAGAAACGCGGTCGATGCTATGCCCTTGGTAATCGCCCTATATCCGATTTCGGTTGCGCGGGCTCAATTAACCTTTTTTAACGGCTTCAGAAAAAGTGCGCCGAGTAATAGTTTATTGTTGTCTTGTTTCGATTTCGATCTTCGATTTCAGCGGCCAATACTACCCTCTGCTCTAGGTCGGTTTAACTTGTACGTTAGGAGGGCATTCAAATCTGGGTTCATATAGAGTGATTTAAATGGAATATTCGGAGTGTCAGGTAGGTTCTTGTCACAATAATTCATTATCAACCGATCGAATGAAGCTTGTATCAATAAGATGAGGTTCAAGAAACTGAATCCTCCTTGATCGGACTTAACTTTCATTGGAAACATGCTGATAACAAAGCTGTTAGAAGGAAGTGCTCTTCAGAAACTGATTGAACCCTGTTCATACTCAAGAACTAAACCAATGGCGACCATCCTGATGAGGAGACGCTGGAGGCGGATTGGATACGTCACCCACCAAGAAGCCTCTATCGCAAAAACCGCTCTACACTGGACGCCTGGAGGGAAACTCAAGAGTAGCCGCCCAAAGAGCACCTTGCGGCGGACAGTAAAGAGAGAAATTCAGGAGATGGGGAAGACCTGGGAGGACATCAAGCTCATGACAAAGGACCGACAATTGTGGAGGAAGCACGTTGCTGCCTTACATGTCACTAAAGCGTAGAGGCTCTGACAAACCAAGAGAGCAAGAAATAAAGCTGCCTTCACTTTCACACACGCGCAGACACTACTTAGCACTTGCAATCGTTTTATGATATATACAAATAAGAAATGGCTGCGGACTATTTTATTATTCTCGCGTGTTTATTTGATCATCATGTTTTATTTTTTCTCGCTTGAAAAAATGGTAGAGACTCCTAAGTTTTCATTTTTACTACACCTTTTTCTTTTTATTATTTCTGTAACACTCTCAATTTTCCTTCCCTTATTTTGCGAAACAGCGGTTGTTTTTTAACATGTATGTTTTCCTTTGAGATTTTGTGCCGGAAATTGGCGCACGGCAGGCCAGAGTTGATTCATTTGACCACTTTTGACCGCTGTGTTATTGGCGCGTAGCTCATCAAACTTAACTCATTTGCGCATGTTTTTTGTTTAGCCGCCATGTGCGTTGCAAACCAGAAGATTTCATAAATCTTTCTTTGCTTTCAGCGGTGACATGACGCATTTTTCACTGCAGCGGAGGAGTCTGTTACTTCCGAGTTTGATCAAAAATGAAACAAGATAATCATTGACCAATCAATTAGTTATGTCTGCCAGGAGCCCATTATCCGGAGCTTCCATCTTCCATCCTTACCCTCTGAGTCAACCCTGTCCCGTATCTTTTATTTCTTGCAGCACCTCCCACGGGGTATTTCGCGGATGTTTACATAATAGCTAGTCATAAGAAAGCTGTAGTCTTCTATTGTTTACATTACATGCAGGCCGCACGAAAGTATTTCAATAATGGCGAAAAGCGCGGAAACTTTACCATTTTTTTTTAGAGTCTTATGCGAACGTCAGCGAGTGTTCGGTGGAAATTAAAGAACCCCCACATATCTCAGTTCTAAAAATAAAAAGGGACAAGGTTGACTCTAGGGTACAATTGTTATGGAGGCTCCGGGTAATAGGCTCCTCTGTCTGCTAAATAAAGAGCCGTGCAGATCAGCACGTGCGTTTTCAAACAATAGACATATTTTAGCTGCCCTCAGCAAAGCAACTCCCGAGATGACCAAAACCTGCGCGAACCATGATGACCAATTCTGACACAGCCACCTATTTGTAAAATTGTAAAGAAAATTATACATTCTTTTTAATAGATGTTTCCTCAGCTTTGTCGTCCTTTCTCCTTTTAAGGTTCCTAATCCGACGCAAACTCGTGGCCGCATTATTCCTAGAATCTAGACTATACCTAAGTTATTTCCTTCAGGGACCGTTGTGATCTGACAAACCTGACCATTCTCCTTTCAGTGCTGGTTGCCGATAGTTCTTGCCGTAATTTGTACTCAACATTTTATCCACATCTTTCACAGTCACGAATTGTTTATTGTTGATGGTGACAATGGACGATCCTTCCATCAGGGCTTGACCTGCCTCATAAAAATCTACATAGCCACGTTGTCTCCAGTACTGAGACACTGGCAACATTCCCTTCACTGCTTCTTCCAGATCACTACTGAATAATGCTTTGCCTTCTAAGTCTTCAGGCCCGTCAAAATAAGGGGCTGTATTTACGTCGATGTACGGGGGCACTAGAATATGCCCCCTGGGCATGTCCATGAAAGACATACCTATATAGTATTGGTTTTCGAGAACCTTTTCAAGAGCAGTATACGTTGAAGCATTTTTAAACACAGAGCTAGGTAATGCAATATCTACGTCGTATGTCCATGGTATGATCGCTTTACTCCTGACAGCCCCTAACAAGGTGCCATCAACAATTCGGTATTCTAGCCCCAGTTTGTTTAGCCCTCTCACAAAATCGCTCAGCATTTTCCATAAAACAGTGCTGCAACAGATCGGTGCAGCTACACCGGGTAGACCTCGTGGCTCTACATAGGGCTTCTCCGGGCACATCTTCCAGTTTGCGACACAAGCCGTCCATTCTATGCTATTCTCCGTTACGATCCGAAGTACCTTATGTTTATTGGCAAAATTTGCATATTCAGGGACCTCCTTTGAGCCTTTCAAATTTCCTCGATCCGTACGCTTGATTTTGGGTGTCCACGCGCAAGAACCAAGCTTTGCAATCTTCAATTCGCCCTTTGATCGTAGAAAAAACTCCAATAAGGATAATTTCCCAAAACCTTCGATTAATCCTCCAATTTTCTGAAACACATCCTTCCTTATTACAAATGGACCTTGCACGATACTGCAGGTTTGTACAAGCGCGTCAGTTGTCCCAGTTTCACTGTCGGAGTCAAGCCTGAGAGACTTTTGTAGCGCGAGGTTTTTTACAGGGCCTGTATTCCTGATGTGAACGCTCCACATTTTTTTGACAAAACGACACCAAGATTGATCCAACATGAAATTTCCAGAGTCTTTCATTTCATGGCTTTCTTGTTGTTGCATACAAGTTGCACCATGAAATTGTTTTCTTGAACGAAGAAAATCACTCAACTTCCTCACGGAATGTTTGTCTTTGTTCTCCAATACACGATCAATTCCCTGCTCTTTGATTGAAAAGGGCAAAATCAACAGATAGAGAGTATTGTTATTCACCGCACTGGAATAAGACAGATCCGAATGAATGACAGCCATTGAATCTCTCCGAGAGAGCAACACATTTGAATTAGAAACGTTAAACTTTGCTGAGTTCCAAATCCTGAGTATTTGCGTTTCCATTTCAGAGTCGTTGCGTTTGACATTTTTTCGCCAGTTCAAGTTCAAACCAACGAAACAGAAATAAAAAAGATACCAACACAGTATCAGAGACGACCAACATAAAAAATATTTTCGCTTCCATCCCATTGCGCGAGAAGCTCACTTTTTTGGGATCACTGGCAAAAATATTCGATAACAATTATTTTTTGTCACAATTTGGTACTATTGAGCCAATTTTCCAGCTTTCAACAATTAATTTAGAGCCAGAAAAAGTGGATGAGCTGGCGCCTTAGGTGTGATAGCATTATGATTTTAATAAACGTTAATTAAGGAATATATTTTCGTTTGATCAGTTCCCCGTGAAAAGTTAACCTCATTCTGTGTAAGAATTGGTGTAACCATGGTTTCCATTCGTGATGACCATCATGACGGGGAAGTCTCTTCTTTATATATCCATGTCGTCGACGGATTTGGATGTAAACTCTATTTCAGCAGATTAGAAGAACCATAAATGCTTATTTTGATGAGGGAAAATACCATGAGGGTGCGGTTGTTTCATATAAACTTTGACAGACGTATTGTCTCTTCTCTTGTCAATATATATGCAATGAGTCATTCTAGTCTATTCCCTTTCTCAAAAAAGAGGACAAGTATAGCTCTCACTCGAGAACGACAATCCAGGAAGTTTGATTTCACCCAAATGATATTTATTATTTTTTGCCTCAAAATGTGTTAATATCGTCAAGACTGAGAGATACCAAATATGAATGACGGAATGTCACCTGCGTGAACGCGTTCATCACGGTCCATGAGAAAATTGCTATCATGGTACAAAGGTAAACACAGCTTGAAAACTATCTATCTAATGTCTTATCAACACTGTCTATGGGTTTCGAATAACTTTCTCGGAAAAAAATATATAAAAAGTAAATATATGCTGATTATTTTATTTACCTCTCGAAAAAACCTACGTTTTAATAAATGATCTTAAATTTTCATTCTCGAAAAAGGCGAGCACTTTA